TCTTCCCCTCAGGGTCATCTGAGTGAAGGTTATGGGAAGCTGTGCAGCATCTACCTCAAACTGCTCATCACCAAAATGGAGTTTCACATTAAAGTGAGTCGGCCGGCCAATAAAACCGAGCGTCAGCCTCCCCCATCGCCCCCTCTCCTCTTCCCTTGTAATCTTTGCCCCAGACCCTCCTCCTGTGGGGGGGAAATTCCAGTTTACTCCTTATTATCCTTTGAAGAATCGGTAATGAAGCACTTTTATGAGACAGCTGAGCCGAGGCGTGGAGGTGACATGAGATACTGCTGCTGATGCTTTGCTCTCATGAAGCTGGATTCTTAGCCCTAACCGAAGGCAGTAAAGCTCCTTCATTCTCATTTCTGTTGGCAGATTGTTATAAATTTTGTCTCACACCTTCACAGCATCATGGGCGTAGATCTGTGGGCATTGCTGTGGGTTGGATACATTGTCCAGCGTCATCTTTGTGGACTGACGCGTAACCTGACGCACCTATTGCTGTGACTAAATAATTAACAAAGTGCCAATAAGCATTCTGATGAATTAATCATTATGCATCAACTGTAGAAATGATGCAAATAGGAATATGAAACATTTCAGATATCTGAGGTCTGAGCTGTCCGTTCAGCCTTCCTGTTGCCTGCTGGAAGTCTTGCTCTCTTGCAGCCAGAATGAACTGCAGAAAGGTCTCGACGTGTCCTAGAAAACGGCTTTTTTTAAAGTGTTTCCTCACATCTCTGTGCTTCCTTTCACTATTAAACACCTCAACAATAATGTGAATTCACAGACTTGAAAAAGATGTTTTTAATTTTCCGCCAAAGTCGAGTTTTGCTCACTTCCAGTAAATGGTAGATTTCTCGGTGCGTCTCTGCTTTTTATAATTTCTACATTAATTAGTGGCGACTGTGGTAGGAGTTGATGTATATTTTCAAATTTCCTGTCAACTTTAAACACTTTAACTCAAAAACATGCCGAGTTGGCTGGATGACCGCCATAGCGCCCTGAGCACCGGGCTTAGCAAGTTTTCTGGGGAACCCTGGAAGATGTTCAATTATTGTATTTTATTTTAATCAAGCGTTTTCCCCAAGTTGAGAACAGAAGTCGTGCAAAAGCAGCGCAGAGGTGTGCAGCACTTATGTTTACCACATAGGAAGTCACCATTTAATCTTTTAATGAAGCTCCTGGTGGCCAAAGTTACCAGACTCTGTCAGTAAATTGTATCGAGTGGCTGTCTGGACTTTGCGGTTTGAGTTGAAAGCTCGGTTTTTGTCCCGTTCCGTTTCAGAACCCTCGTTTCCCCGGCAACCTGCAGATGTCGAACAGGCAGCTTGACGAGGCGGGAGAGAACGACGTCAACAACTTGTGAGTGTGGCGTGCCGCCGCCGCTCCGGTTCCCTCAGCTTACTGGTGGATTTAACTACTTGAGCTCCAGGATGGTTGTGTTTTAACTGTGCCTCCACTCGGGTGTGATGAGCAAAGCTTCATTCGAAACCTGACAGTAAATGATTAATAAATCAGCTAACCCTAGTCACGATGATCGGTGGTTAATAAATAAACAGAAGTAGTTCTGATGATAACCAGAAATCTGGAACGTAACGTGTATTATATTCCAGGTGGGATAAATTATGAACTTTCTCAATCTGCAGCTTCCAGCTCACAGTGGAGATGTTCGACTACCTGGAGTGTGAGCTCAACCTCTTCCTTGGAGGTGAGTTTTTCTGCTCCATAGGACCAGCCATCTCTGTTAAGTACACACACACAGATGCTGTCTGACAGACGGGAAGTACAGTCTACCTGATGTATGCGATATACACAGTGACGAACAGAAGCAGACGGATGTGGAGCGCTGAAATCCCCTCAGATCTGTTCTGCGGCCCTTTTGTTGCCTTGTTGAGTCACCTGAGGTTCATGTCTGCTGAAGCAGCGGAGCGGATTAAAAATAGACTGAGGGAGGTGACCGGGCGAGCAAATTCAACCTCCAGTCATAAAAGATAAGGAGGAAATTACATTCAGGCTGCTTATTACTCGCAGCCGCCTCCAGAGCCGCCGCCTCCACCTTTCCAAGCAAACTAGATTAGCTGCAAAACGCTTCGCTGGTCCGCCTCGTTTAGGGGTTCCATGTCTTTCGACATCGGATACGAGGAATCGTCAAATCCAGGCCTCAAGGACTGATGTTGTGCTACTTTTATATGCGTCTCTGCTTTAACACGCCTGAGTCAAATAATGAGGTTATTAGCAGGATTCTGGAGAACCTGACTGCATATTGAGGAGGCGATTCAGCCATTTTATTCAGATGTGTTGGACATCAAAAGCTGTTCAAGGTCCAGGTTTGAGGACCCCTGAGATAAACCATCAACTTTATTAATACCACCGACTGGTTTCCTACGCGGTCTGGAAAATGTCATGATTTTCATTTCCAGACGTGAATGAATATGAAAGGGCGGAAATGACCACATTTCCTGATTTTTATTCACAACGCCGTCGTCCATCATTCTGTCCATCATCAGTGTTTCCATTTATTTGTCCATCAGTCTTCTGCAGTTTGCAGCTCCACCTCTAGCACCACTGTAAACACGTCTCTCACAAATCCATTTTTAAAAAGGCCTGGGATCCCTGGAAGCCGGAGTTCTAACATGAAAGCTGTGCCAATAATAACTCCACTCATTCATTGTTAATGCATTTCAGACCAGAACTGTGCGGTTCATGTTTGTCCATCCTCTGCTGTTGCGTGTTTTTTAAGTGTAACGTCATGTGAAAAGTGTGTTTTGCGAGGCAGGCGGTCAGGAAACCACGCCTGCGTCGCTCTGAGGCTCTCATGGCCCGACTCTGTAACGATGGAGGCAGAGACTGAGTCAGACAATCCTGACTCTGTTCAGGTTGTCGCTCCCTCGCCGCTCCGTTTAAAACTCCTTTCCTGTTTTCCATCTTTGAAACGACTCTGAGCCATGGCCGCGGTTTCCAGACACTCCAGTGCAGCTGAAGCGACGTTTGTTTGTTTTTTGTTTTTTTTCGGAGTGCGCTTTGTTGATTGCTGTCGCGGCTCCTTCCTCTCCTCCGCAGTGTTCAACTCCCTGGACATGTCTCGGTCCGTGTCGGTGACGGCGGCCGGTCAGTGCCGCTTGGCTCCCCTCATCCAGGTCATCCTGGACTGCAGCCATCTGTACGACTACACCGTCAAGCTGCTGTTCAAGCTGCACTCCTGTGAGTCACACAAACCGCAGCACCGCCACCAAAACCCATCTGAATATTGGTTCCATTTTCTTTGACCTTTCTTGGTCTGGAAAGTGTGTTCCGTCTTAAAAAAAAAAAAAACTTTGATCAACTGAGTTGTTGGATTATTTGGTTCCTTCATTAATACAGGGCCAGTAAAAGAAAAGGTAGCACTTTATTTGAAGGGGTGTGCATGAGACGGGCATGACGCCGTCATAAACATGACATGACACCTGTTATGAACATAAAGGAGTCTATGAATTGCTGACTGACATGAAGTGTCATTTGGTAAATGGCATTTTTTTCTGCAAAGTTGCGCTAAAAGTTGCATTAGAACTCCATTAAAAGTGTCAACTTTGCATTAAAGAGGTCTACTTACTGATTACTAACTTGCAGCAGAAACCATCAGACAGTAAAATATATATTTTTTTATTTTTTACTTGATTATTTTAGCAGAGTTGACTCTGTTTTTACTGTCGACAAACGAACAAACCTCAAGGCAGGTTTTGTGGTCTTCAAACTTGTGGCTGTTTGGATCTGTGATTAAAACAAACACATTTGATCTGTTTGGAGAAGACGGGCTTATAATTACAGACTATTTAAATGCAATTCTTGTTAATTGTACTCGAATATGGCAGAAAAACTGCACCATTTTATTATGTAAATTCCTGTTTGAAAGACTTTCTTTATATATGAACACAAAACAAATGTGGATTCAAGGTTTCTTTAATAAAAAGACGCATTTCTGATCTACTGAGACAGATTTAGGCTTTTTAAAGATATTTATGTGCCACCAAGTGTCCAGAGCTTCTTACAGATGTTTTTCAAGTTGTGTTTGAAATAACTTGATTGAGCCTTCGCTCTCAAACTAATTCTTGAAATCCGAGAGACTTGAAAGGCCGATGCGTTTCTCTGACGAGCGTCTCTTTTGAAATCTCCCCAAATTCACCCTGACGCACCAAAACATGCAGCCGAGCATCAAGCTGAATCTTTTCTATTCCAGCTTTAAAGCGTCTTGTTGTTCTCGTCTGCCGTCAAACACGTTTTACGTATTCAGTCGATTTTTTTTATGGAGAAGCTGTATATTTTCCTACGCCGAGCACAGAGCCGTTTGTGTTTTGTGTTTGCAGGTCTTCCAGCCGACACTCTCCAGGGCCACAGAGATCGCTTCCAGGAGCAGTTTAAGAAGTACGACGTTCCCCCTGAGCCGCACAGAAGCCGTTCCTCAAAGTATCACCCTGTGTTCACGCATCCTCTCCCGTTTCAGGCTGAAGAGTCTCTTCTATCGCTCCAGTAATCTGCAGTACTTCAAGAGGCTGATTCAGATCCCACAGTTGCCTGAGGTTTGCATGACTCCGACCACCTTTCATGCCTAATACTCCCACGGATGTGGTTGCTGATTCACTTTGTGTTGCTCAACTAATTGAGCAACAGGCAGCATGTCTATCATCATGTGTGTAAATGTTGTCATCAGGCCTGTCGGGACAAGCTGAGCATCTAAAACTGAGCCATACGTTTAGTTTCCTCTGTTTTAAATGTCGAATACTTTTCTGCAAGCGGCTTTTTTTTTTTTTTAAATGCAACATGCTGATCGGGTCTGCGATTCTTGCAGAACCCGCCAAACTTCCTGCGTGCATCCGCGCTGTCGGAGCACATCAGCCCCGTGGTCGTGATCCCCGCCGAGTCGTCTTCTCCCGAGTCGGAACACGTGGTGGAAACGGAGGACCTTGTGGACACGGACGTCCCGTCCCTGCCGGTAAAATCCTCTGCAGTCCTGCATTTAATTCGTGGTTCCTGCCCTTTTAATAAATCTCCTGGAACTTTGACCAGCCCTTTGAATAAAAACAATTCATTAGGTTTTGGAGTCGTGGTAATGGTGTCGTTTTATCGTTTTGAAATGATACTCGGATCCTTCCGGTTCACCTCGTTTCCACGGTTACGCATTTTACAACTGTCTGAAAGGAGTAAGAGCAAAAGCTCTTCCAAAAGCTCTGCCGTGTTGCATTTACTCCACACAAGAAGAAATGATTACCATTTCCATAAACGGTAAAGTTGTTTCTAAAATTAACACCAGGTCTGTTTGGCCTTCCCAGGCTCCCTCCGAGGTCAAGTTTGATGACCTGTTTGGCACGTCTGCTGCCATCGATCCGTTCAACTTCAACAGCCAGAACGGCATGCGCAAAGACAAGTGAGTTTCAGAAATACACTGTGTGAACTTTGTTGTGAGCATCACCGGGTTTTCTAATTGCGACGTCACGGGTTTGGTCGGATTAATATGCCGTTTCAATTTGTGGGATTTTGGTTTAGTTTTTTTTATTCAGTTCCCGGGAAAAGAATAAGAATGTGATTATTGTCATGCATTTGTGTTCAGTCCCTCTGAGTTGATATAATCTGAAATGTTTGCTTATTCTTCTATGCAGATTAAGATAAGTCAGTCCAGACAGAGAGCGTCTGTTGACGTTCATTTTCTCATTTTGCTCCATCTCCTCTGCTTTGACTAGACCGTTCTAACAGGACTTGATCTTAATGATCAAAATCTAAAGCTTTGATCTAAGTGGAGCTCATCTCTTCCAGTTATTTTGGCTCCTTCCATCTTACCAACTCTGACCAGCTTCCCTGTCACTTCTAAAGAGCAACAATCCCAGAGCATCACGCTGCCACCACCGTGTTTCACTGTAGAGACTCTGTTTTTAGGACAGTGTTGAGAGTTCTCATCTCACTGGAATATCATCTTCAAAGTATTCACTTTGTCCCCAAAATGGCTTCAGTGGATCAACTTGTTTTGTTTTTTGGCTTTTTTTTAAGCAATGGTCGTTTCTCTTGCCTGGCTTTTCGGTTTAGGCGGTCAGGTTTGGATTGACTGTTCCTCTGTGAGATGTTCACAGTTTTCATTTTATAGCATAACCCTGCTTCAAGATTCTCCTCTCCTCTTTCTTCCTGACCTGTCTGCTGTCTTCCTTGTTCTTCACGCTGCTGTTTGTTCTTGAGCAAATAACTGAGAACATCTGGTATTTATGCTGATATTCGACTCGTCACAGACGGACTACGTTTACTGACTTCTGAAAGGGAGCTGGTTGCCCAGGATTTTCTTCAGATGTCAAAGTAGTAGAGTAGAGGGGAATGCTCACCACACTTGTCTGGTTTTTATTTGTAAAAATTGACTGTTATGTTGGTCCGTAGCACAAAATGTGTTTGATTTTGTGGTTAAGTGACAATGTATAAACTTTATTACAGTTAGACAAGGCGATTCACATGAGGCAAATTATGTTTCTGTTGAGAGGTTTGACAGTTTGTTTGCATCAACTGTGAATATTGTGATTCCAGTTTGTTCCTCTGCTTGTGTTCCTCAGAGACCGTCTGATCGAGCAGCTGACCAGGGAGATCCAGGCCCTCAAGGAGGAGCTGGAGTCTTTCCGACTGGAGGTAAGGATCAGAGGAACGCCCGACTCGCCTCGCTTCTGTTCTCCGTCTCGTTTTCGACCCGGCCCGCTGTCCCGTCTGTCACCAGAGCGGCCGGCTGTGTCAGGCTCTGAGGGGCCGCGTCAACGAGCTGGAGGCGGAGCTCGCCGAGCAGAGCCACCTGAGGCTGCAGGCCGCCGGCGAGAGCGAGTTCCTGAAGGCGGAGCTGGACGACCTGCGGCGGGCCCGGGAGGACACGGAGAAGGAGCAGCGGAGCCTGACGGAAATCGAGAGTGAGGCGGCTTTTATTTCTGCACGGCGGCTCAGGCGCTCTTCGTGTTTTCCCACGCCCGACGGTCCGGTAGACTCGGTTTGATCGGGAACCAAAGCTGCAACATTTGCTACATTTTGATTCAGTTTATCACGTTAAACGATATTCGCGTCTTCACCTGTGGAGATGCTGCACCAAGAACCACTTGAGGAAACGACATGAAAACCTCTGAAGAGGACATAATGGCAACTTTCTTCTTCACGAAATGTAAACAAGAATGGACTGATGTCAGATTTTGTAGCTGCAGGATTTCTTTTATTTCCTTGGTAAAATTCCACAAACCATTTCTCCTGCTTGCACTAGACTTGCATGTTTGTTTTTATTGAATTTACCCAGAACTCCCTACTCTACAATCCACTTCCTATGCATTCGAACTGCGCCAGAGTTCACTTTAATCAGAGACCGAGGCTTTTAGGCAGATTAGACTTTGCTTTTTTTGATCCGCATCAGAGTTTGTTTGTGCGTTCACATCTCCCCAAACAAATTAAACTTTCTATGCAAACGAAATAAGAAGTAAAATGGACTAAAACAGGGCTGGTGTGAATGCACCCTAACCGCGGACCTTCATGTAGTCTGACTGATCCTGAACTACGTTGCAAAGAAAAATGGACAAAATTGCCTTTTTTTTTTCTTTTTGTCAGAATTTAATATATGAGAGACGTAAATTAAATAAAACGAGCTAAAACAATGATATATGTGATGATAATGCAGCCTGCTAATGTTTTTCTAAGCTCTCTGTGTCCGTTTCCGTCTCTTCCCAGGAAAAGCTCAGGCCAACGAGCAGCGCTACACCAAGCTGAAGGAGAAATACACAGAACTGGTTCAGAGTCATGCAGAACTGCTGAGGAAGGTGAGGAGGACGCCGTCTCCAGATCCCTCTGTGGCCTCGCTGCAGCTCACAACGCTTCGTGCCGTTTTGTGCAGAACGCAGAGGTCACCCGCCAGATGACGGTGGCCCGGGCGGCCCAGGACGAGGTGGAGGCGGTCCGGAGGGAGATGCAGGAGAAGGTGAAGAGCGCGCATGAGGCTGCCGACAGACAGGTGAGGACCACAGAAAATGTTTTTGTGCCCCCCCTCCCCCCCCTCCCCCTGCAAAGTGACCCGAGCGACAAAGTTCAAAATCTGAAGCGTCGTGACTCCTTGTGTCGTTCAGGAGAGGGAACAGGTGAAGCAACTTCAGGAGCTGCAGAGAGAACTGGTTTCCACCCAGACAGAACTGGACTACCTGAAGACCACCATGGCCTCGTCCCAGCAGGTCAGTCTCAGCAGCTGCCAGGAACAAAGATCTTGATGATTTACTAATGATTCTGATCGATCTGAAAATCTGAACCTTTGATCCGATTTCCACCATCAGAGTTTGACATCTCCAGCTTCAGAATGATTTTATGTATTTTTTTATCTTATGTATGGGGCTCACATACGACGCATACATTTGATCACCTCAAGTAAAAACTGCACAATTTCACGTCATTATAGTTGAACTGGGTGACGCTGTCTAATCGCTCCTACATATAGTTGGCATGTGTTTTTCCAAGTGATAATTTGTGTTACAGAAGGAATCTGATCATTTTCAGGCCTGGAGGAGATCTAGAAAAAAGCCAAGGCTTAAACATCTATAAAAACAAAACATAAAAAAAAATGTTTAAAAAGAGAAATTTTATTTTAAAAAGAGTTTTTACAAGCAGGATAAAGGTATCCAATGTATAATCTGTTTAAACATTTACATTTAGTTTCACATAATCAAGTCAAGATTTTGATTTAAGGACGAAATATTCTGAAATGGATCTGGTCAGAATAAACCAAACAAAAAGAAAAAGAAAAAATGAAGTAGCCCATTGTCAGATATGTTGAACATTGCACTTCAGGTATTGAACATGCTGACAATTAAACTAAACTTGAAATCGGTGAAATTAGACCTGGAAATGTTTGGCAGCCAGGGCTCTGCGCCGGATGTCTTACAGGTTTGACATCTGCTTCTACTAAGCTTCTTGCATCTCGAGGATCGAATTCGCCGAGGTGATGAGGCGTGTCGGAGCAGGACAGCTGGCTAATTATTCAGGATGTTTTCCTGCCTCGTGCCTCTCGCGCTTCACTGGCTCTAGTTTTACCTTAACAAGAGCGGCGACAGGTGGAGCCTTTTTAGCTTCTACATCATTCCTGTCCATGCGGCTGGAAATGTTTCTAAACAGAATGAATTTAGGTAGTTTGTAAGCTTTTGTTTTGTTTTTGTTTTTTTGTTTTGTTTTTTTTAGCTGGTCTCGATTCTCCACCATCCATCTGGAGAAAACTCTGGTTGTTCTGCCACTTTCTCTGGGATCTCATTTAAAAAAAACCTTGTAGTGAAGCTGCTATTTTTAAAACCGTAGGCATTCCTTGATACCAGTAACAAGTCCATTCCTAATAAGGACTGGCAGGAAGACTAAATCCTGACTAATGGTGATAACAATGACTATAAATGGGAGAACTGGACTTTGTTTGAAGGAAAGACGTCATTAACCCTGACAGAAATCAACACCTCTATCATTTCACAGGTTTAAATTCAGCCTTAGCGACTTTGACTCTTTTGAAGAACCAACCTTTATTTTTGTTGTAGCTCTAAAAGGAAGTGAATGTTTGTAGCAGCCTGGCAGTAAAATGTTCAGACCGCTGCTGATATTTGGCCACTTATTTGCTATAATGAGACATTTAGTTTCCAGAGCTGACATGCAGCTAAAAATAAAGATTTGGAGGGTGTGTGTGACTGAATTAGTGTATCAAATGAGCCGTTTACTGGTTTTTGCTCCCAGTTCTTTCCAAATAATTTTCCAAATATTCACCTGACTTTTTTTTTTTTTTTTTTTTCCCCCAGCCTTCCATTTGTGATGTCTCCGTTTTGTATTCTGGTCTTATCGGCACTGCCAGTCTTCCTGTCTCCATCTAATCCCTGTAGTCTGTTTTTAACACGGCTGTCGTCTCTCCGCTCGTCTCCAGCTCCTTTTGCGTTTCTCTTCTGTTATAAAAATGCTCTTCTTAACGTTGCCGTTTCTTGTTCCTTCCTCTTTTTTCTACCGGACCCACTGACGACTCAGAGCGTAAGTTTTCTGTTCTTTTTTTTTTTTTTTTTTTTTTTCCCTTTCCCTTAAATTTCATTTACGTTTATTTTAAAGTCTAAGGCTCTGGTATAAAAGATCAGCTACACTGTCATCACTGGTTTCACAACCTCAGCTTCCCACTTTGTCTTTGACCTCAACCCAAACCTCTCTGGAGTTTCCATGGCTCTCCACAACCTCAAATCAAGGCAGTGTCACTCAAACTAGTGGCTAAAGACAACAGGCTGTCGGTGCGTCCTTAAGAAGTCTTAACATGTCTTAAATTCATTAAAGAGGCAAGATGGCCTCAAATATGTTAATCACAGATCTTAAATTTTGTCGTAGCTGCTCTGTTTAACCTCTGTTTTTGTTTTTTTTTCCTCTCTCTCCTGGGACTTTTCTGTCAGACATAAGTTTGAGGCGTGTGTATAAATCTTTGTTGATTTCTGCGACTCGCAATTTACTGCTAACATATTTTTGCTAGCTAGCTTTTTTTTTTTTTTTTTTTTTTTTTTGCCCCCCCCTCCGGGGGAGATTTTTTTTTTTTTTGGGGGAGTTTGGG